AAGACCCTAAAATTTGACACCTCTGTGACAAAAGTGGTCTGTGATAAATAAAGTTTATATTTTACTGTGCGGGCGAGTTGGTGTAGTCTCCATCCTTGGAGATACTCAAAAGCTAGTTCGACATGGTCCTGAGCAACCTGCTCTAGGCAGCCCTGCTTGAGAGGTGAGCTCTTCATGCTTCATCCTGTGACTCCATGAAATACCTTAGTACAGGTCTCAGAAGAAACATACTCTTCGAATGCTTTTGAGATACTGAAGCAGTTTTAATAGTGATGGATCCCAATTATATTACACAGAAAAAAAAAAACAAAATTCAACAAATAAAAAATTGTTCATTAGAGCAATAAAGATTTGACACTGATTTCTATTGCATGTAATATAAAATAGAGTGATAAGGCTTTTATCATATAGGGCCACCAATTTGTTGCCCAGTGACTGTTTGTACTAGGTTCAGTTGCTGATATGGTTATGGCTGCCTTTGAAAGGCTTGAATGGCTAGTACAATAAGGAGAAAACTTCACAAGTGTCAGATGTTGTCCACATAAAGATGATTTCAGAGGAAGCTGCTCTCTCCATTCAGTATTTAATTCTGTAATAATGCAGCTCTAATACCTTGTCAGTCTATTCTTAGTTGATATGATCCCAACTAAATCAAGATAATACAATCTTTTTCTGTTAATTTTGAAGTATGTAGATTACCAAACCCTTGCAGAAGAGAAGGAACAATTCATCTGCTTCAATACATACTGGAAGTGACAACAAGAGCTGCTTGGCATTTTAAAAGCTTTGCAAGAAAATCCATCCTTTCATTCATAAGGCCTTTCCAAAAGATACAACTTGCTTGCCATCTTCATATTTGTTATTATATTGAACTTCCTATTGATTTCATCCAAACTCTTGATTTTAGAGCTAAGATTGGGGTGTTACGTACTAAGTATTTGTGTATTTGCTGCATAAGATATGTTATGGTTCTTTCAGCACTTCCTGCTCTGTATAATGCATTTTTCACTATATATGGTAGACTTTCAGCTAAAGTCTATGACGAAAACAGTAAAATTGTTTTCAACTGTAAGCTTAATACCACATACGCTGTAGAGGGCATGCAAAATGAATGACCTGCAGTAGTGTCATACAAAAAGAGAGCTGTCCGCAGCATGAGCTGCTGGCCAGAGGCCATGGTACTATCAGGGTGACTGGACAGAGACAGCTGGTTATGGTAAATAAACTATATGATGTCTTGAGCTATTGCTACTTATGACCAGATTGGTTTTGACTTTTTTTTCCTGTAAATGCTGATGTGAAGAATTTTCCCTGCTAGCTATAGTTCTTCTATCTCTTCAGCTCTACAGCTCATCTGATTGCTAAAATGTTCCTTACCAACCCAAATCATTATTGGATCTAGATGCGGTCATACTGTATTTTTGTATTTTTATATTTTAAAATTCTTTTATGTTTTTCATTCTTTCTATGAATTAAGAAAATAATGCACAGATAATCAATCAGTAATGAAAATTTTTAAAAGAATCGTTGTGTTCCAGGCTACAATTACAATACCAGAGGTGGCAAAAATCATATGGTTTTTTTGCTTATCTGATTCATGATGTGAGTGGTAAACTACTTCAGATTTTGGTTGGTCAGATTAGATGTTGATTTCTTTGTGGTTTTTTTTTAATATTCCTAAGTACTTCTTGTGATAATATTTTGTCGGAATTAAAAATTGCTTGTAGCTTTAAATAAACATTTTACATTTATAATATAAAAACTATCAAATCATTCCCAGAGTTATATTTCTATCATCATTAAGGTTAGTTTCTCACTTCAGTCTTGATATACCTATGTAGGGAATTCTTTTTTAATAAGAAATGTAACAAAAAAAATAGTCATGAAAGTAAGTAATGCATTATTTTTGTTTCATATATAAATATAGAAAATAAAATAATTATGCTGAAGTTCCAAATGTTGAATGTTCTAAAAAATGTTGGAAGTTCTTAAAAAATAGAAAAGTTCTTCTCTCCCTCCAACCTATGGGTGAATGTCTGGTGGTCTGATGCCATCCCTCTAATCCTTCTCCATTTTATTTGGATAAATTTCAATGAATCAATCTGTTCTCAATAAAAGCAATCTTCATTGAAAATTTCAAACCACTTTTAATGATTGTATTGATGTTTCTAACATAGATTGCTTTATTCTGTTCTAAACCCTTGGGCATGTAGGCAGGCTTTATTAAACACTTTTAAAAAAATCTGTAACTGAATAATAATTTTCTCAAAGGTAGAAGTGTGAAAGGTTGGTTAATAGAAAGGTCTGTCAAGTGAAATGTATTAACTGTAGCTAACAGAAAATCTGAGTAAGATTAGAGAATTCTGTGGGTCTCTAAGCAATCTGAGTTAGAGCATTTGCTGCAGGGATAGTGAAACTCTTGAGACGTTCAACTTGAGCTTCTCAGAAAGCTAAAAAGAAATTGGGAGAGAACGTGAGTTAGAAAAACTAACTTTTGATGAGCTTTCATTGTAATTCCCTCAAACTTGTATTGCCTTGAAAACAGAAAAAAAACCCTGAAAGTAATTCCAAATGAAAGGCAATGTAATAAGACTTCAGTTTCTCACTAGTTTGCTCATTGTCTGTGAAGAAGTTTATTTTCTCCTACCCTGAGCTTTCATTCCTCATATATGCAATGATGCTGACACAGATCCTGTTTGTTTTAAAGAGCATTAGTTGCATGAGTCATAGGTTTAGGATAGGAAAAGCACTGGAATCTGAGTCTTCATTACGAGATAAGAATGCTTGTTTTAGGAGAAAATTTTACTTATCCTAGAAAATAATTTATGAAATTTCCTTCTTACCTCTTACCTTTCCCCATCCTCACTGAGATACCAGTTTTTTATTAGATTGTCTGGTTTTCAAGCATGTAAAAGCCATATCAAGCTGTTTAAAAGCCCTCTGATAACTTCTGCTATTTCTTTTAAGTATAATCATGCTCTTCTGTACTCATCTTCATTTCTTTAGGCTTTATCTAGCATGCCTCAGTATGGCATGGAGAAGCTGCTGCGTTAACTTCATTTTTTATTCAGTCAACCATACTTCAAGAAAAATTTTTTAATTCCATTACTGGGATGGTATTACCATATGTTGCATTCTGGATTAAGCTATAAACTGCCCAGAGTGGTTCCATTTATATTTAAGACTTTTTAAAAGCCTTTTGGTTTGTTATAACCTCTAATTAGCACTTGGAGAAAGAGTCATACACTCTTCTCTAGGAGAAATTCTTTTTAATTTAGTGTGAAAAATAAGATATTTTGGCAAAAGGTTTTTACAGGAGTAAAATACAACCAAGAAAAAAGCATTTCACTAGCATTCAGCCCAAAGACCTATTCCACAGGAAACACCCACTAAAACAATCCATACACATAAGGAATTCAGACACAACTAGGATGAAAACTGTCAGGATGTGATAAGGAGGTGATCTAAGGTCTTAAGGCCTGGGAGGACTGAGAAATGTCATTGAGGGAAATGTATGTGTAATGGTTTACTACATAAATAAACTGATTACATTGCATGTAATTGAAATTGCTGGCAAAGAGAAGCAATTCTGATTGAAAAGAATAAAAATTACAAAATGCTTGTTTACTAACTTATTTAAAACCTACTTAATAAATTTTTTATTTCTGTTTTGACTTATTTCAGTTATATATATATTGTTGTAATATGAATGTGTATTCTATGACTTGTGGCTCTAATTAGTCACGGTGAGTTAATTTATTCCATTAATATCTCATTCACTAAGAAGAATGGTAAAACCTCGAGAGTGTTGATTTGGATAAATATCTAGCAGCACAGATGTTCACATAAATATTTTTGAGCTCCACATTTTAAAAATCTTGTGAAATCAACATTTCTTTGATCCTTCAAACGGATCTAATCTGTTTTTTATTTCTCATTGAATCAACTGACCTGTGTCTGTGCATTTTTTGTTTTCTTTTAGGGAAAATAAAGGCAGGTTTTAAATGCAAAATTGATCGTTTTATCTGGTTTATGAGTTTGTTGGGATTTGTTTGTTTTGGATAGTTTTTGGTTTGTGTTTTCTTCCTCCCCCTGAGCACAAAGCCTATTAAGCTGACATTTTTAATGGGCATACTTCAGGATGAACTCTTACATAAACAGAATGAGACTGCTTTAATTTAATTTTTAAATCATGGAGAAAAGTTAATACCTTCCAGTCTAAAGCCAGTGTGACAGCTGAATATGAATATAAATATCTGTGAAAGAAATTTAAGGATGTAAAAAATCTTAAATGGTTCCTTATTAAATGCCATAAACATTTTTATTCTAAAGAAGTTTAATAGTAACTTTAAGAAGTTTGCTTGCTCGTGTGCTAGAAGAACTTAAACTACTTCAGAAATACAGCAGATTATGGTAGAATCCGTATCTCTTAAAGGACAAAATGAATTTCTGTTTTTGTAAAATAAGGATGTATGTATAATGATATCAATTATTAGTTTAATTTACTAAGGATAATAAAAAGTGATATCTTCATTTATGAAATATGTATTTTAGAAAGATGAGATTTTTCTTCTATTTATATGAAAGAGTGTACTGGTTACAACCTATATGAAGAAAATTACTTTTACCTCAGCCAAAACTAGAACAAAAATTTTCCTGAATCATCTTATAAAGGACAATAAAACAACATTCAGAGACAGAGTGTAAGATGCATGCATGGACTACCTTACTATTTTTAAAAGTTTCTTGCTGATAGATTTGAAAAGCAAATATAATTTGAAATAGAAATCAAAGGTTTACTTTAAATCAACACAACCCACCAAATTTTTTATAAATCTTTAGGTTAAATAATATTGATGTGCTTAATACTAGAAGAATGCATCCATTCTGTGTCCAGAGAAACTGATTTTTTATACATTCTCAGATAATCTTCATGTACTAAAATATATGAAAAACAGGTCTCTCATGTGCTCACTTATACTTACATCTTTCTTTTCCAGATGACACGAGAGCAGTATATATTAGCAACACAACAGAACAGCCTTCCAAGGACTGAGCAACCTCAGTTTTACCCAGTAGGGATTTATGGATGGCGAAAGAGGTGCTTATACTTCTTTGTCCTACTGCTGTTGGTTACCATGATTGTTAATTTAGCAATGACAATATGGATTTTGAAGGTTATGAATTTCACAGTGGTAAGTATTAAGCAACTTTATGTACCCCATTTCTTGAAGTACAAACTGCTAGTTTTATTTATTTTTTCCTTTATCATGTTATAGAGAAATCTTGTAATTTTTGGTGAAAAATCATATATACTTTGAGTGTTACTTCAGATATTTATATCTTTTGTGTATATTCTGCAGTGAGTGGACTGATGCCCTGTATTCAGATACTTTTGGTTAATCATATCTTCTGAAAATATATCTAGGTCTTAGATTTTTTTTTTATTTTCCCAACCAAAAATGTCATGATGACTACCCCAAACATCTTTTGGTTGCTTGTCATCACTGAATAATAATCAGTAGGAGTTTACTATATCTGTTCTGTGTGGTATCTCTCCTAGGAGGAAAATGGGTTTTTCAGATCAACATATGGTGCCTTTTTTAGCTTTTGTTGTTCTTAGTATTTTTTTTAGAGTTTACTGACAATTTCTACTGTGTTTCACCTAGAACATAGAGTAGCTGTTTTGGTGTTGATAGGGAAGTGGATGGGTCTAAAAGTCACATGCTTTTCTGAGACAGTCTCTGTCTGGAATCTTTAATATCATCAAAGTGTTATCAAATCTGTATTTCAGATGTACACTTGAAAGAACATCTGTGTTTAGTGGAAACTGGTAGAAGTCCATACTAGTTGGCAGCAGAGTAGTTTCTTTTTGTATATCGAAATAAAAGATAGAACTCTCAACAGTTTAAAATAGTAGTGCTTCTACTAGGATCAGTGCAATCTTTCTCTTTGGATTTTGACCTTCATAAGCCATATTTTGATGTAATTGGCTATAAATTTCAAATTCCTGTGGTCATAAAACATTTCTATTCTCCATTAGTTTATTGGAAATAAAAAAACAGCCAACAAAAGCAGCATAGAACATATGTATAAAATTGTCCTAAGTCTGTTAATGCTCTGTAATGCATTGAGTTATCTGAGACTGTTGTCTGGTGAGATGTATTGTGCAAATACCTGTGGATGAATATGTTGGATTAGTATTTTGACAGCTGTATGACTTTAATTTTCATGTGCTGAAGAGTCAGTGAGAAGATTTGGGGGGTTGCCTTTTTTGGAGGAAGGGGCTAGATTTGGTTTTTTGGTTCTATTTTTTATTTTTTTTATTTTTTTTTGTCATAATGCACTTTCAAAATAGGACATCCATATATATTTTTGTTTATTAATAATTGTTGATTTGTACAAGAAATATATTTAGGCATAACTGTTCACTTCAGTAAAATGGTCTGCTACTATGCCAGAGGAGAATTGAGAATGGACATTTGAATAGGATAAGAAGATGTTTTACAAAGCACAGAATTTTCCTCTGTGCAGAAGGTTGTATTCCAATAGAATATTTGAAAGTACTGTTTCCGTATCTAGGAAATGTTTGACCTTCCATGGTAGAAGCTATTATAGTACTATTCAGCTTAAAGCTCTTAGAATTTGATCATGCGATCTTTTTAAAACAAAATTTAAAAAAAAGTAGTTTTTAAATAGTTTTCTTTCCTGCACATCAAAGCTTTGTTAGAAGGTTAAAAGTTTATGATGAATCACTAAATCAGTGCAAGAATCTAGTACAGAAAACAAATTGTTTCAACTTTTATAAACACTGTTCCTTGGTCCTGTTTGAATAGGTTTTGTTATTTATACACAGAAGAATATGAGTTTTCTTTTGCAGATTCATGGAATGGTAGTCTTCTGCTTGGACTAGTTAGTATCACATTGGAAGATGCATTCAAAAATTGGCTGCTAGAAGACTGTCATATTAAAAGTTCAGTATCTTCATGCTTATGTCCTCACATGCACATTTGAGCATGAGTGGGAAATTTGTATCAAGTCTGAAGGAGTCACATTCTTAGTGGCAGATATTTGAGAGTAAAATAATTTATTTTATGAATCTAAAGTTATGTATTGCAATAGCGATACATGCTATTGCAATACATGCTACAAAAAATGCAATAGCTTTGAAATATGTATATTTTTTTTTCCATGTATGTGTATATACATATAGGTAGATATAAACCAAGAAATTTTATTTGTATAACTGGGCAGTGATAGGAAATCAGAAGTGCAGCTAGAAGCCTAAAGAATATTTACTCAAAAGGGGAATCTTGCCATGATAAAATAATTGCTGAAATTGGACTGCTTTGACATTTTGACATTATTTTAAATTATTTCCTGTTTCGGCATATGCCAGTGTTGAGCTTTTTATAGAAACAATAGTAATTGCACCACTTCAAGGGGTTATGAAGAGCCAGGTCATAGTTTGTCATTGCTGGCTGTCAATTGCAACACTGTTAATTTATATTAGCTGTTGACTTTCTATTTTAAACTATAAAGCTGCAGCCACTGGCAATTTGGCATAATAAAAGCCTTTCTGAGATCAAGTTTCCAATTGGAAAAGTTTTCTGAATATACTGACCTTGCACATAAAAGTCACATTCTGAATCTGAGCTAGTTATGCCATGCTCTTTTTATATGCAGAGGGGAGAAACAGGATTTTCTGTAAGGCCATTCATCTCGTGCTAAGACAGAACTGAAGTGAATTGTTCTTAAGGACAGATGTTGAATAGCTTGTTAAAGAAGTAATAAAAAAAAGAAAATATAGTTTATTTACAATTGTGTAAAAACATAGTACAGGCAAGCTGACCAAGTTTCATTTTATCAGATTACGTGGTATGACTAGGAAATGTAGAGAAACTTTCAGGGATACAATCTCTTCTCCCAATGTACCATGTCAGAAAGTTGAAAGGTAAATACAAGTTACAAATAATTGCCCTGATATAATATGTGTCAGATGAGCAAAACAGAAGGTAATGACAGAACCACAGAGTATGCTGAGTTGGAAGGGACCCACAAGGATCATCGAGCCCAAATCCTGGCCCTGCACAGGGCCATTCCCAAGAGTCACACCATGTGCCTGAGAGTATCATCCAAATGCTTCTTGAACTCTGTCAGGATTGGTGCTGTGGCCACTTCCCTGGGGAGCCTGTTCCAGTACCCAACCACCCTCTGGGTGAAGAACCTTTTTCTAATACCCAATCTAAACCTCCCCTGACACAACTTCAGGCCATTTCCTCGGGTTTCATCATTGGCCACCATAGAGAAGAGATCAGTGCCTGCTCCTCTTCTTCCCCTCATGAGGAAGTTGCAGACTGCAATGAGGTCTCCCCTCAGTCTCCTCTTTTCCAGGCTGAACAGACCAAATGCCCTCAGCCGCTCCTCATATGGCTTCCCCTCAAGACCCTTCACCATCTTCATTGCCTTCCTTTGGATGCTCTCCAGTAGCTTCATATTTTTCTTATGTTGTGGTGCCCAAAACTCCACAATATTCAAGGTGAGGCCACCTCAGTATGGAGCAGAGCAGGACAATCACCTCCCCTGACCAACTGCCTATGCTTTGCCTGATGCCCCCCAGGACATGGTTGGCCTTGCTGCCAGGGCACTGCTGAATCATGTTCGGCTTACCAGGGACCAGGACCCCCAAGTCCCTTTCTGTGGCACTGCCTTCCAGCATCTCATTCTCCAGTCTGTATGAACATCCAGAGTTGCCCCATCCCAGGTGCAGAATCCCATGCTTTCCCTTGTTGAAATTCATATGGTTGGTGATTGCCCAGTCCTCTCATTTGTCAAGGTTTCTGCCTTTGAGGGAGTCAACAGCTCTTCCCAGTTTTGTGTTGTCTGCAAACTTGCTTAGTATCTTTTCCAGTCCTATGTCCAAGTCATTTATGAAGATGTTGAAGATTACAGGGCCTAAAATGGAGCCCTGTGGAACCCCACTAGTGACAGGTCAGTAGCCTGATGTTACACCATGCACTGTTGCCCTCTGTGCTCAACCCGTGAGCCAATTGCTCACACACTGCATGATAAGTTTATCCAGCTGGGTGCTGGACATGAAGGATACTGTGAGAGACAAAATTGAAAGCTTTACTGAAATTCAAAGGTTACATCAACTGGCTTTCCTTGATCAATTAGGTGGGTTACCTTGTCATAGAAGGAAACCAGATTTGATAATCATGAAGCCTCATGAAGCCACACTGGCTGTAAATGATGACTGCATTGTCTTTCTGGTGTTTTTCAATACCTCCCAGAATAATCTTCTCCATAACTTTACCAGGCACTGAAGTGACACTGACAGGCTTGTAGTTTCCGGGGTCCTCTTTCTTGCCCTTCTTGAAAATTGGGACAACATTTGCCAGATTCCAGTCAGCTGGGACCTCTCCAGATTCCCCAGACTGCTCAAAAATCATCTAGAGGGGCTTTGTGATGACTCCCATCAGGCCCCATAGATTTGTAGAGATCCAGCTGGATCAGCAGATCCCACATAATTTCAGGGCTGACTGAGAGTTGATCATTCTCACAGTCATGGTCCTCTAGCTCTGGGCACTGAGACCCCCTTGGTCTGTCATTGGTGTTGAAGACTGAGGCAAAGGTTAAACACCTCTGCCTTGTTTCTGTTCCTGTTTGTGAGGTGGCCATCCTCATCCTGTAATGGGCTGATGTTATTGTTACACTGCCTATTGCCATTAATATATTTGAAAAAACCTCTTTTTATTGTTCCCCGTATTTCTGGCAGTTTCAACTCCAGTTGAGCTTTAGCAGAAAGAATATTATCTAGAGGAATTGGAGACGTAGTAATAATTTTTTGAAAGATATCCCCCCACTGGTAGCTCAGTGTTACTGTCCTTTAATGTGTACTCAAGATCTGGTACCTCACTGTTCAGTCATCTGTTTAGAAAGATACATGCATGACCAAGAAGACCGATGGCATCTTGGCCTGTATCAAGAACAGTGTGGCCAGCAGGACACACCATTCTATCCTGGGTTTACATGGAAAGTAATAATTCATAATGCTGTATTAGAAGATCTGACCTTGAACAAAATGGTCTGCCCATAACTTAACCCAGAAATAATTCTTGACCTAAACTCGTCATTGAAATAAAGCTCTTTATTGTTTTGTGAGCATCAAGTGGATCCACTCTGTTCTGAGTGG